TGTGTATTTTTTCACTTTAGCCTTTCTTTTTATTTGTATTCTCTTCATTTCAGTCCGAGTTGTGTCTTCTGAAGACCCGCACCAAGGCCGAGATGAGCAAAAGAACTGAATGATTTTGGCTCTGCAGGCCCTGAGATCACTTCCCTACAGCAGCAAGTTCTCTTACAGCAAAGGATACGTGGCATTTTTTGTCTTAATAAAGACACTCGAGGAAAGAGAGGAAGCACATAAAGAGGAAACAGGTGGGGGATTTTTTTTTTTTGTGAATAATTTCTGTCCTGTTGTGAATTGAGCTGAGGTTTCAGGGCTTCACGAAACCTTGAGATAATTTCTCCTTTTGAAAATGGATTCCTTTGACTGATAGTTTCAACCTTGTGTTGCTGCAGGTCGTTCATCATTTGTGTGTTTCAGGGACGTCTAACACGTCTGACCTTTATCTACCTTTAGTGTCTCTCACACACACACACACACACACACACACACACACACACACACACACACACACACAGGAATGATAATGATGTATGCAATAACAACACAAACTGAAGTAATCTCACACTTCAACCAATTGCTCTGCTTTACAATAGCCTGAGCCTTCCTGCCAGTGTGTGTGTGTGTGTGTTGTGCATGTGTGTGTGCAGTGCGTGTGTGTGTGTGTATGTGTATGTGTGTGTGCATGTGTGAGGCTCTTGACATAGCTGAAAGCATTAGTTAGTGTCTTCACAGGCTTATATTATGCCATCAACCCTGCGTTTTTACTGCACTTACTTTACTTTTTGTACTTTACTGGCAGCTCTGTCATTAGCACTGACAGTACTTCACTTACTGTATCTATTATATTCTGCCTGCATGTGGCCGTGCTCTGTGCATCAGGCAGAGATAAAGTCAAAGAGGTAATTATTGTAATTTTTTTGTTCTGTGCTTCAGAAAAAGAAATGTAGAGAAAACATAACTCACACCGTCATACTCATGATGACCCATGTAATGATGATCACACAGCGTGTCATTATTGTAATGAAGTAATCATCAATAGACTCTGTGAAGTCTGTCGCCGTCAGTGGGTGAAAATATGAAAATCACATAGATGATCTCATATATTTTAATAATGTCTCATTTTCTAGATATTAGATAAATGATTGTTTAGTATTGATTTTTAGTATTGAAACATGTTGATTACTGGTAATAAGACAACAAATAGATCAGGAGCAGAGTGGGAGTGGGCACCACACGATGCATTATATCATTATTTAAATAAAATGAAAAAAAATTTAATGTATATATTTGTTATTGTGATACCACGTGTTATCGTGGTAATTGAGCTCAGTCGCTGCCAAGCTGCAATTACAGCTGTGTGTCACAAATACTGACAATGATTAAACAAAAGAGTGAATTCTGTACGATAAAGACTAAAAATATTACCCAAACAAAACAGACTTCACTATGAGAGTAGGTATAGTTACAATGGACACCAGAAGTTCACTAGCCTCAGGGCTGTTTTGCTTGTCTTTGCTCTAGTTTAAAACATTGTAGAAAGTGAGAATTGCAAGATTTATTTGATTATAAGCCCAGTTTAAATCTTGAAAACTGTTAAAACATCGAAGTGCTTGATAAGAAATGCTGACAGTCTGTATTCAGAAACCTTAAAACTAACCATTCGACTGTAATTTTGTGATGCCACAATGAAACACCCTCCGCCCTCAGCTTGTGGCATTTGGAATCTGCCAATTTCTATTCAGTCTCTATGAAGGATTATCATTTTGTTTGTCCCCTCCAGTCATCTTTTCTGCTTCTAATCTTTTAAAAGCTTCTCTTATACTGATCGGTGGATTACTTTTATCGTGCTGTTTTTAAGTTTCCGGTTTTGTAAGTTGTGGTGTTTCAGGAGTTAATCCTGGACTGAAAACCAGCTATTATTATAGCGGTGTGTGTGGAAACTTGCTTACTCACAGTCTACGGACGATATCCACCGCCTGGAGTGGAAGCTGGATAAGCTGCGGCTCATGGCTTTGTCTCCGTAGCCGCTACCCGGGCAAAGCATATTTCTGACATAAATTCCCCCATATATGCTGCTGTCACGCTGCTGCTACTAGATGTTCCTACCCGGCCTTAAAGCTCTGAGCCATTCCGATTGGCTGTCCGACATGTTCTCTCTGGTGCTGTGGTTATCAAAACTTTAAATGGACCCTCAGAAAAATTCAATATATGAGTCTGCTGAAGCCAAACAGTGCTTTGCTTCATTTATTTCTGTCTATTTCACACTCCAAAGTTTAGCATGCAACGTTATTAGTGTGTCCCTTTGGTTCGAGCATGTGTGTTCTAGTACTGTATGTCTGCACGTGCACACAGGGCTTCCATAAAGAAGTAAATACTTAATGTGCAGTGTCATGTGCATGCTTTACAATCAGCTGTGACCCTGTACACTCATGGTTGGCTGCACAGCTACATCTGTCAGTGATATAATCGCCTATATGACTATACCCCCTTGCATTTTTATGCGTGAAGGCTTTTTTAGACTCTGAGGACTGCACTGTCAGTTAGTCACTCATCTCAAATCACTTCTGTCCAGACGCTTAGAGAAGCACAAGGGGCCTCTGAGGGTCCTTTAAAGGGCTTTTTGAGTCTGACAGGAGAATCAATAAAACTCGATGATGCTTTTATGGACTTACAGCAAAATATAAAATGTATTCTGATGCACAAAACAGCAACAGGGAGAAGAATTTAAAACGTAATGGTGCTGCCTAGGACACAGATTGCTGCATTCTTAATCAAGTAATTGGTTTTCATTTTAGGACAATAGGCCTGTGTACAAGTTACAGTAAAAATTTCACACTGGAAATTTAAATGCATGTAACGCAGTGTAAATGCAGGATATTGCAGATGTGATTGAAGTGACCTGAGGACACTGACGTCATTCCAGACATGCTGAGGGTAAATTTAGACATTAACAGTGTTTCAGTTAACTAAGACAGACACTATTAACTGTTATAGGCAGTTTAGGGAGGCAGTTATTGACTGAGGATGGCATTAAGTGTGCCACTCTGATATAAGTCATCACCAGCATTAAGATCCTGTTAACACCTCATGATATGAATGTGGCTCTTTCCTGCGCTCCTGTAAAACTGACTCATCTTCATGTGTTGTTTTTTTTAATGCGTTATTATAAATTGACGAGACGGGAAAATAGTTTGTAATGTTGCACATTTCATTTCTTTAGGCAATATTTAAAGAAATAGCAATTTCTATACAGATGGGAAAGGCATGGTGGGGGATGTTTCCTTCTGGCATTAGTCAGTTTGAGATCCCTTCAGTGATGGGAAGAAACTTGTATAAGCTGTGACACCCGAAAGATTTGATCCCAAACCTTGTTAGAGATGTTGAAGTGTATTCAAAATTAAGGTGACAGTGATAAATTCTGTTGAGATAACCTCTGTACTTTATCTTAACCGCAATGGAAGCAAATAGTTTTGTAAGTAGGAAACAATCCATGCATTGATGGTGTGCAGTCTGAGTAGAGTCCATCCATGGTTACTGCATTCATTTATTTTTGTGCACTGCAAACTGAATTGAAACAGATGTTGATGTACGCTGCATGTGCTATAACCCAACCAATGGTGCCACACTTGGCAAACAAGTACCTGCGACTGCCAAAGAGGCAGTTATTCCTGTGCTGTGATTGCCAGCAGTGTGAATGCCAATGAAGGCTGTTACACAACAACAGCCTGAGGAAAATGATGCACTGGGACACGGTGCAGCATACAGTACTCACATGATACACTTTTTCATATTAAAGCGGTCCAGTGCAGCCACATTTTGCGATTTAACCGAGAAATATGAGCTGAATTTTGGTTTAGTGCCTCAATTTAGAGCATGTTGAAACCAATTATTGACGAGGTGAAGGCTCCTCCTCACAGACTGCAGGCAATCTGTGGTGCTGTGCAAGTAGAATACATTTTTGTTACATGTGCGCGTTCACTGCAGATGTGCAAATATTTGTGATTGACGTTGAGCGCTGTGTATCACTGATTACGTTTACATGGACACAATATTCTGATATTAACTGGATTAAGACAAAAGTCTAAATAAGACTTAATAACTGATAACTGATAACTGCCATGCAAACAGAGTTTTCTGTTTAACTTAACCCGAATAAGGTTGTTGCACCTTTAGACATGACGAACATTGCAGTGGAGATATTTTCAAATAAGTTATGGTAATGTAGTCATAGTGGATGCAGTGATGTCATGAGTCATAATCAGACTATGCTCTGTAACATAGGAATAGGAATATAAATGGAATATTCTAATAGCGACTCATGTAAACATCATAATCAGAATAATGTATTTTGAATAAGATCAATAGTTGAAATATTGATGTCCATGCAAACACATAGTCACTGTTGTAAATGTGGATGTGCAAACATGTCCAATGAAATGAGAACGTTTCAGCTGCGGCCAAGGTTGTGACCCCTGTTCAAATGCTCGTCTCTGAAACTGGCCTTGTATCCACCCATCTCTCCTCAACACATTCAGAGGGAGTAAAATACATGTTTCTGCTGTGATGTGAAGAGGGTGATGAAGAAGAGAGAGGAGATGATAAATTTAAGTCTGTGTCTTTTGCCGAGGGATACTTTATGGTAATTTGTTTTTATTTGTACATACCACAGCCCAAGTGTCTGCTTACATCCTGAGCCACTCCTTTTAATCATCAATCTGGCAAATCCCACTTTAATTATGAGCCACTCCTCCTCCACTCCCCAGACTCAATCAGAACACATAAAAGAGCCTTTTCAGCTATAATGGGATTATCGATTGGGTGGCAGCCTCGAACTGAGACTTTGTGTATGCGTCTGGCAATTGTGTGTGTGTGTGTGTGTGTGTGTGTGTGTGTGTGTGTGTGTGTGTGTGTGTGTNGTGTGTGTGTGTGTGTGTGTGTGTGTGTGTGTGTGTGTGTGTGTGTGTGTGTGTGTGTGTGTGTGTGTGTGTGTGTGTGTGTGTGTGTGTGTGTGCGCGCGCGCGCGCCCGCGCACGCGCGTACATGTGCAACACAGAGAGAGAAAGAACTGAGCTGTGGTGGGTGCATGTACTTTTGTGGATGTGTCATGGTAGAGCATAGTGGAAGTGTGTTGTGTTGCAGGGGAAGGGGTTTGTGTAGGACACAAACACAAGTTTATGTAATATCATCAAAAATGACCCACAAAAATGTGTGTGTGAGAGAGGAAGGGAGAGAGAGAGAGTGTGAGTGT